TTCTTTCTTTCTTTCTCCTTCCTTCCTCTCTTTCTTTCTCTCTTTCTATGGGGGGGTGATCATAATATAAATGGAATCACATGGCAGCTGTTCTTTTGTGCCTGGTTTTATTCTCTCAATGTTATTTTTGTGAGCTGTACCTACATTGCTGGGTAGAATTATGGTACTTCCCCCTGCTTGTATTTCCTTCCATTGTATCAGTTCCATAGCACAGTTTACCCATTCTATTCTTGATGAACGTTCGGGTTGTGCCAGTTTCAGGCTATTTCAGTGAGGGCTGCTGTCAGCTTTCTTGTGGACATCTTTGGTGGGCGTGTGCATGCACTTCTGCTGGGTGTGTAGACCAGAAGGGAACTTACTACTTTCTAGGGTGTGGCTGTGATTGGCTTTCATAAGGGCAAATGGTTTCCCAAAGAGGTTGTGTCTGTTTCCATTCCCACCAGCAGTGGGTGAGAGTTCTGTTTCTCTACGTCCCTGTCAACGTTGGCCGCTCTTAGTCTTTTTGATTTTGGGCATTCCACGGTGTGCAGTTGAATCTCATTGTGGTTTTCATTTGATTTCCTGGATTATTAGTAAGTTGAGCATCTTTTCATGTACATTTGGGTATTTTGCGAATGGGCTCAAGGGTCCTACTAATTTTCCTCTTGTAATGTTCATCTTTTCTTACTGATTCATAGGAGACACTGATATATTCTGAATATGATTCTTGGTTATGTATATTGCAAATATCATATACCACTCTGAGCTTGACTTTTCACTCTCTCAATGCTGTCTTTGGCTGAACAGAAGATTTTAATTTTAGTGTAGTCTAATCTACCAATATTTTCCGTTATAGGTCATGCTTCCTATGTGCTATTTAAGAGAGCTCTGCTTGTCCTGAGGCCACAAAATAGTCTTTGATGTTGCCTTCTGGAGGCTTTACCGACTCACCTTTTACATTTAGATCTGCAACCCACATGATATTGACTTTTGTATATGGTGTGAGGCTGGGATCAGGTTTGTTTTTTTCCTCCATCATAACCACAGACTCTACACTATTAATAGAAGAGATTTCCTTTCCCCAGTGCTCTGAAGTCACACTTTTGTCATAAATCAAGTACTCACTTATTTATAGAAGAATCACATGACTGTTTCTCTTTGTTCTGTTAATGTGGGGAATTACTCACTAGGTTTTTGAATGTCAAACCAATCTTACGTTTCTGGACTAGGCTAAACTCGGTTATGATGTGTTATTTATTTTATGTGTTACTGCATGTTTTGATAACTTTTGCAACAATACAGATGAATAAAATTTACCTGTAATCTTCCTTTAGTGCAATGTCCTTGCCAGGTGTGTTACTGGGGTTTACTTGGTTTATAAAATGAGGTGAGAAGTGTCCTCTTTATAGTCTTCAAGAAATTAAAACACAAATGAATCTAATCTCATATAGTGATTAAACATATATGTCATTTGTCCTGCATATATTAGGGTTCTCTAGAGAAATGGAACCAATAGAATACACAGAGATGTACAAGAGGAAGCCTATCACCTAGCACAGTTAGAGGCCAAGAAGTCCCACCACCCGCAAACTAGGAACCAAGAGAGTTGGTGATGAGACTCAGCCCAAGTGTGAAGGCCTGAGAGTGGCGGGGTTGGGGGTAGAGGGTGGGGGCAGTGGTGTAAGTCCTGGTTGGATTCTTTTTTTTAAATAAAAATAGAGTTGATTTACAATATTATATTAATTTCAGGTGTATAGCATAGTGATTTAGTATTCTTACAGATTATACTCCATTAAAAGTTATCACAAGAGAATATAATACACCTGGTTGCATTCTCAAGGCTGAGAACCGGGAGCTCCAAAGTCCAAGGGCAGGAGAAGATGGACATCCAGCTCAAGGAAGGAGAACATTCACCCTTCCTCTGCCTTTCTGTTCTATTCAGGCCTTGAGTGGATTGGGTGGTGCCCACCGCAGTGGTGAGTGTGATCTCGTCTCACCCCAGCGGTCCAAATTCTCACCTCTTCCAGAAACATCCTCACAGACACACCCAGAACTCCCTTAGCCCAGTCAAGCTGACACATAGATTCAACCATCACAGTAAGAATTCACCACAACCGTCTTTCATTCCAGGCTCCTGTAGTTTTTACATTAAACTTAGGGCAGGAATCTGGTTTTGTGTGAGTTTTGCATGGGAAGGTAGATGGAAGTGAGGCCCTCTTCAGGACTTCTGTGTGGCGCTCAGCAGTCATATGCTCACGTGCCTAAGGCTGAGATCTGCCACTGCGTCTCAATCCCGGGACCCGTGGTCAAGGCCCGTCCAGGGTTTAAAGGAGAACCTGTAAGATGTGAACTTTCTGGACAAATGGCAAGCGTTCGGGTAAAACACCTGACCCCAGTGAGACTCTTTGAAGCCAGTTCATCTCCTCCTTTTGACCTCTCAGTCACTCACTGTTCCACAGGGTTGCTTTTTAGAGTCTCCTTCAATGGTACACATCTCATGACTTGCCCGTCTCTGCACTCCCACTTGTCCTCTGGGCTGTGGCATTTGTGGGACATACCTTCATTTCATCCTCTTCTCAGCTGTCCACATGCTCACTCTACAGTGGGAAGCTGGCCTCCTTAGCCCCTGCTGAAACCTCCTTGGTGGCTCTCCGTCGCTGTGCAAGGTGAAGTCCAGGCTCATGACCATGCAATGGAGTCCCTGTGACCGGGCTCTTCCTCCCCAATCTGGTCTTTGGCATCAAACTCCACCACCTTCAGCTGTTGGTGGCTCCCCCCTGGGCACCACGGGGCTCTCTGCTCCAGCGTGAGTGTGTGCTGCTCTCTCCCCCAGGAATAGACTGTCCTGGTCCTTCTCCTGGAGAATCCATCCTTTAACAGTCAGCTCAGCCCAGACAGCCTTGACCCCTTCCAGCTGGGGCTGCGTGGTCTCCTTCCTGCCCATGCATCTCTCTGTGATGAGACTTGCAGGCAGGGTCCGGGTCTCAGCCATCTGCATGTATCCATGGCTTGCTGTGTTCCCTGCATTACAGGTGCTCAGAAAACACCTATGGACTTGAACAGACGGGACAACACTGACCGGCTGGCTGGCTTGAGTTTCATTTCTTTTTGGAAGCCTGGGATGGACTAAAATTGCCAAAATGCTGTGACCAGAAGGAAGGCCAAGGTTTTGGCAAATCCACAGATACAATCTCCTCCTCTGTGACTGAATTCCGTTCCAGTGGTTAGAATTTTCTAACGAGGGCCTCGGCTTTTTGTAGACGGATTAGCAACAAGGGTTTTCTATAGAGATAGATTTTTCCAGAGTAGCAAATTTGAACAATTTACTCTCAGAATTTCAATGGAAAAAGAATAATCCTACATAAAAAGCAAATGGACCAAGATCCTTCCCACTCTTCTCTGGTTAATCAAAGCATTTACACAGAAACGCTGTAAGGATTTGTGTAGGAGATGCACTGGGATCTTCAAGTCTCTCCTCGACGCTCACTTCACTTTGTCAGAGTGGCTCTGCTCTCCGAATGGTATCACGTAAAAATGGATTTTCTGGGGCTCCTGGCCATGAATGGGTTTTAGTTGCACAGTGGTGCCATTCATTTTATTTGGCCCATTATCACAAGTACGGTCTAAATTTGGCCTTAATTATTTTTCCTTTCACAAAAATATTTTGTGGGATCTTTTTGAACCCCGACTACTTCCTTCTTGTCCCTTAAAACAGAATCCAGGAGTGTTATTTTTTTGTTCTCTTCTAATTAAAATAATTGCTTGGTTCCTTTTAACTAGATTCATGCCATTAGGAGCCTAATACATGGATGGGTGCCCTGGGGTGCTTGGGAAACAGAATGAAAAGTGATCATGTAGCTTCACATGAAAAAGGTTCTGCGGTGCCAAGAAGCATTTTTTTTCCTTTCAGCTGGCGTTTTATAAGGGCCTTTAGTAAACCTGGCCCCCCATACCCTTACTAAAAGACGATTAAGCCACAGAATAGTTCTATTTTCTTCATTAGGTGTGCAGCGACCTCGGTCCCGTTTGAAGAGGGGCCCTTGATGTGCTGGGACTGGCATGAGGACTGGGGTCTGGGTTTAATTTCTGCCCCTGCTTTGTCTTTCAGAACAACTGCATGTGAAGGGTGAGTGCTCCAGATCCCTGCTGCCAGGGGGTGTTTCTCAGGGGACAGTGGAAGACGAGGGACATGAGGGCCTGGATAGAGCTGGAATCCAGAGTTGTCAGGACCCGGCCTCTAAGAGGAAGGGCTGAAATCATGTTGACATTAAGGCTTTTCTCCAGTCCTAGGGTTTGGCAAACAAAGGCCCACAGGGGGCATCTGACCTGTTGCCTCTTTTTGTAAGTTAAGATTTATGGGACCACAGCCACGCCCACCTGTGCATATGTGGTCTGCTGCTGCCTTTGCACTGCAGCGTGGAGCAGCAGTGACAGAATGTACCATCCAAGAGGCCAAAGAGGTTGACTCTTGGGTTCTTTACAGAACAAGTTTGCTGACTCTTGATATAAGCCATCCAGTGAATGCGCTGAGTGTCTGCTAAATATCTACTCCACGCTGAGACACATGTGCGCAGGGATGCTCAGAGTGGCCCTCATTGGATGGGAGGCTGATGGTCTTTAGTAACTTGCTTGTGTCACAGGTGTCCAGGACAGGTGTGTAGGTATCAGGGAGTAAGAAGGATTTGGTGGAAGAAGTCGTGGTTTGAGAAAATGTTCTGCCGTGATTGTCTTGGTGGCAAGTCGTGGATCATGGCTGGGCTCTTCCTTTGTCCGCTACCGGGAGGAGATGCTGACACAGCTGGAACTTCTGTCTTGGGGTGCACCTTTATTAACTACTTCAAGACCTACAGCCAATATGTGGACTTCTGGTTCCAGGCCAAAAGATGGGCACCTTCTTCCACCAGTTGGTGGTTGGGTGGGTCAAGCAAGAGGATGTGAATCTAAGTGTTTTCTGGGCCACAAGGTGCTGTGTTTGTGGCCTAGACATTATCTATAAAAACATTAGGATGAGTGTTGTCTCTTTTGGCACATGAGGACATGCAGCCCATCCAATATCAAAGAGCAAAGCCAGTGGCAGAACAGGAAGCTCAGTCTCTTGGTTTCAGTCGCTGCTCTTTCCAGGGCACTGTGTGATTCTGTAAGTCATGCTTCTTTCCACGGCATCAGGAATGCTCAGTTCTTTAGTCCACATGTTCCTTCCTTCCTTCACTCACTAGTCAACACTATCTAAGAGCCTGCTGTGAACTGGAAAAGGGGCTGAATTTTTCAGGGAGAGCGATGACTGTATAAAGAGTTGGAAGACTCAGAATAATTTTGTTCTTGGACTCCTAAGGCTGCCGTCCTCCAGAAATACATAGATTTCTCCCGTGCTGCCCAAGTGGTTGGTCCTTACCTGTGACACGAAGAAAGAGAGTAGGTGGTGTGGGGGAGGGGGAGTAATCCTGTCACTCAACAAACTGTTGCCTGAGATGTTGTTCTGGGTAGTGTGTGTGTGCGTGTGCGTGCACATGTGTGCGCATGCACGTACGTACCAAGAAAGAGGATGAGAGATACTGAAATGTCACTAGCAGATTGTACCAGCAGCTAAAGGATGGAGACAATCTAGGTTTGGAAGATTTGAAAGTTAGGCTTTTGTACAGAAAGTCCAAGGGAATCCACATCAGAGACATTTTCAAGTATCAACTGTCAAATTAATCGAGTCTATTAAACCTGCCAGCTGTGATTTCCTTTACTATACTGTTCCAGATGGTCTTCGTTCAGATTATATTCTTTCAATGATGTCTCTTGTAACTTTGGAAGTGATGATTATCAAATGTGCCCAGAGGAAGCAGCTTCCACCAGAATACTGAACCTGCCGTGTCGTGATAGGGGAAGGGGAAGTTCTTGAAAGTTTCCGTGTTTGACACTTGCCCATTTCATGGGGAAGTTTGCCAATATTTCCCTCTCACTCAGAGTCAATGTCGTTGGCTACTTAAGCTCTTCAAATTCTGTGAAACTGAAAGTCATATGATTCCCTGAAACAAGGTACCAGTGAAGTGGCCTCCTAAAGACAAAACAAAACAAAACCTTCCAGAACCTTCCATCATACAGCTGTCACCAGCAAAGCCCTCTGGGAGGTACACTAGAAAATTCTGCCTCGTTCTCTTCCTTCTCCTGCGTCAGTCAGTCACGACCCTGCGGACTGAATCTGGAGGTGGTGGCATCTGATTCTGCGAGTCAGCTTTGGGTCCGTGCTACCTCTCCGATAGGTCCAGGACCCAGGACACTGCTGTTGTAACAAACGTAATTTGTTTCAGCACAAAACGTGTGTTCATTGCAGGTCTTAACACAGATACAGATAACGCTTCTCATCTCTAAGAAATTTGTAAGCATTAACTAATTCATTTAACTTTCTTTCAGTGAAGTGAGTTTTCTTCCGTTTGCTGTGGGAAAACCCTTCTTTTTCTGATTCTAATCCTTGAGCAGGTATTCTACTGGAAATGTTTTGTAGAGGGGAAATAAATCTTTCAACACAGCGTAAAATTCCACTGAAACAGACGACTTCCAATTCCTCAGCGTATAAGCCGGTTTTTAAGCGATTAAGCAACGCTCTGGGGAAAAAACTTAAATCTCGCTGAAAACTGCGGGAACCCTTACTGTGTTGTTACCACCGCTGTCACCACCACGCCTGTGTGCAGAGTTCTTAATGGTTCACATCTACGACTTTGTGGGAGAACAGAGAGCTGGAGGAAGGGTTCCCGTGCTGTCTCCTCAGTGGAGAGTGCAATCCAAGTGTAGGATGTGACTAAGGATCTAGAGATGGCGAGATTACTTTGGATTATCTGGGTAGGTCCTAAATCTAACTGTAACTATTCCTTTTTTCTTAGATTTAATTTTTATTGAAGTGTGCTTGATATACAATGTTAGTTTCAGGTGTACAGTAAAGCGATTCAGTTATACATAAATGAATATATATATATTCAGATATATATAT